AAGTCTCGAACAGTCCCTGACTCCCTCTGTCCTCTTCTCTCTCGTCTCCATTGGTCTCTCGCCTCTCGTCTCTAGTCGGAGAGTCTTGCCTCTCGCTCTCTTGTTTGAGAGTTTTTCTCAGACCCACGATGGCAACCCACTATTAAGGACTCATTGATTATGGTTAATTTATTAACTTAAATATGGTTAATTTAATTTACTTAGGGCGAGTAATTTATTAAAGTGTGGTTAATTTATTTTACTTAGAGTGGTTAATTTATTTTATTTGTGGGTAATTGATTTTTGGGTTCACTTTTTGCCCAAGTTTACTTAGATTAAATTTACTCTTTAATAAATTAATAAATATTTAATGTAATAGTTAGATATTCAATTTATTTATTTTTTAAATAAATATTTGAAGCATTATATTTCAAATCAAATACTAAATTATTATCCTTATGGTGAAAATTATCTCAATTTGTATTATCCTAGAGACAATAATAATGATGATATGTTCTCAAGTGCTTACCTTAAACATTGATAATGATAATTATTTTTAATAGCATCTTTTTGTTTCATTTTAATTATTTTTAATGTATTTTTGGATATATTGTAAACATATGATGCATGAATGATGATATTTATATTTTAAAAATTTTTAAGAATTTTTTAAAATTTTTTTTTAGCTTCTATCTAACATTTTGAGCATATCGGCCGATACAGCGCCACGACCGATGTGTATCAATGCCCTCCGAGTCGATGGCCGATACCGTGACTTTGAACCATGATTTGGTGTGGTAGTGGCTGGTACTGTTCCGCGATGCTGCCACTGAGTCGTATAAGTGCTCTCCGAGTTGATGGCCAATATAATGATGTTAAAATATGGTCCAAAACACCTAGCCTCCGCATTATTTAAAAGTCTACACTTTTACCCCCATAAGGTCTTGGATTAGAGTACATCAACTGGCAGGGTTAACAATTTAGTATTAATGGTCAATAATATCTTTTTTTAAGTTTGTAATTTTTTGCTCCCTTGCGAATTTGACTAGTAAAATGCATATTTAACTTGTAGAGAGAGAGATGTGTTTATTCTAAGAAGAGGGGATAACAATATGAGAAAAGAATGAGTGGGGCTAAGTGATTTTTGACGTGTCATTTTCTGGAAAAAATAAATTTTTGACATTTAACAGAAAATGGTGATGGAAATTTTATCGTTGGCAATGTAGTCCAAAACCATAAGGGGTGAGTGGTAGGTTTTTGAACTTTAGAGGAGTTAAAGTGTTTTTAACCCCAACTACAAGGGGTAAGTGTTATATATTATACTTATGTTAATTGATTCAGCTTTGTTGCAAATTGAAATTATGCATAGATGGGTATCACAAAATCAATGAACGATAATTGTTGAGGAACATCCATCTTGTGTTATGCAGGGTGTACATGTAATGAACTCATAATCCAATCTTCCTGTGTGGTGTAAACTAATAATAGTGTAATGTTTTTCCTTGTTGAATATCTAATGTACAGGGTCATCGATTGATGATTAATTATAATGAAACTCAATAGAGTTGATTAAATATAATCGTAATCGTATTCTATATGTTTTTAATAAATTATCTATCCTTGATAACTATAATCATTTCAACAATGCTTGCATGTAGAAATGGGGTTTTTTTATTGCATTAGCAGCTGTTGTTTGTGTGGAAAAATGCAAATGGGTGTAAAATGATTTTAAATTGTGTGGTTGCTGATTGTTTTTTGCATTTTTTTGTTGAAGAAAAAACAATATCCACATTTTGATGGTCCACTGTACTTGGGTCATCTTGATTTATTGCTGTTAAAATCCTTGTTTGGTTGGAAATTCCCATAACAAGGGTTGTTTTTTTTAATACAATACTTTGGAATATTGTTGAAAGAAAGGTGCACATACCTAAACTGTTTTCATTTTTTTGAGTCAGAATTGGATCTGGAGTGTGCAAGTTTTATGATTTATATGTAGGACGGTACGCACTAGTGTTGTAATAAATTGTGTCACTTACACAATTATAACAAATAAATGCCATGATCGGATCTTATTGGATCTAGTAAATCATGTGTTGGTCATATGGAGGATCAATTGTAATTATTATTTAACAAACATATATGCTTATTTACCCATATACTGTATGCAATTTATCAAGAAGCAACAGCAGGCAGAATTGTAACAGAAATAATGTGCTAGGTTTCATAATTAGTTTTCTGTTGCAGGACTACAAGATGGAGATGCTAGTGGCAGGTCAAAGCAAAGCAGAAGTGAAAAGAAGAGCCGCAAAGCAATGTTGAAGCTTGGAATGAAACCTATCCCTGGTGTTAGTCGTGTTACCGTGAAGAAGAGCAAGAATGTTAGTGCTCTAACCTGGTATCGATTTATCTATTCCTCATTAAAGTTTTTGTTTCTCAGCTAACATTTTAGTGGCTCTTGTTTGCTATCAGATTCTGTTTGTCATTTCAAAACCCGATGTTTTCAAGAGCCCAACATCAGACACATACGTTATATTTGGAGAGGCGAAGATTGAAGACTTGAGCTCACAACTGCAGTCTCAGGCAGCAGAGCAGTTCAAGGCTCCTGATCTCAGTCATGTGATCTCCAAGCCCGAATCTTCTGCCATGGCTCAAGATGATGAAGATGTGGATGAGACAGGGGTCGAACCTAAGGACATTGAGTTGGTGATGACCCAGGCTGGAGTTTCTCGGTCAAAGGCCGTTAAGGCGCTCAAAGCTGCAGATGGGGATATAGTTTCCGCCATCATGGAGCTAACCAACTAAGAGGAAGGGGTTTGGTTGTCGAATGTGATGGTTATGCAGTTTTTCTTTATGGTTTTCCAGAGCATGTGTGCGGATCTTTTATTTTTGGTCTGGTGGTTCTTTTTTAATTGTGTTGTACTAGTAAACACTGAGAAGCCCATGAAAGAAGCTTGCAGTTTCTCTATTCATCTCTGCTTCGTAATTAGGGTTCCTTCTTTTCTTATCGGTATGGCCATGCAAGTTTGTGATATTGCTGTTTGTGGTTCCATTTATGAGTAGCAATTTGAGTTGTGTTGTGTCATGCCAGTTCGGGTTTATGTTGAATACTAGTTTACCGGATCAACCTAATACTTACCTGACTTGTGTCGTGCTCAGGTAGATATGCAGAATTTGTGAACCGGAAATTCTTATAGAATAAAGTGATTCGACCCCATGCCAATGATAGATAATGTGTGGAAAATATTTGCTCAGACTATATTGGCTAGATGGTTCTATAAAGTCAACTTGAAGGTATTCGAGTTTGACATTGACTTGACCCTTTCATTGTTCATTCGTGCTAAGCCATTCGTGTCATTTTTATACTAATTTTGGTTATGTTCTTGAGACTTTTGACAATTTTAGATATGATCTAAGAATTTAACACGAGAGTTGTACATGGGGTTCAAGTTGTAAATGGGGGATTCGTTATGCACCTTAAAAGAAAGGGATTGACATGAGTTCGGCAAAACATTACACGAACTCAATGACCACGACTTACGCGTGGCACAGACTCTGACTATACATACAACTATTAATAGGTTAGAGTGAATTAATATTATTTAGATGCGATACAAATTTAACATGACACGATTTATTGACAATTTTACAATAATCTATTTTCTCTTACTAATTATCACTTGACACAAAAAAAAAAAGTGTAGAATTCTGTTGAAAGTGAGCTAACTATTTTTATTTTTTTTATTCATTGTAACCTACAGTGACAGCCTGAGTCATTTGCATTTTAGTAAAATACTATATGGACACTTTAGTATCAAAATTCACATCATAGGGCATTTGTCTTCCCTCCGAAATGCTGATCAGTAATCTTTAAGAGGCTCCTAAACATATGGGAACTTGTAAATACGGCATGGGATTAAATTTCTCTTTTATTATTTTTTTACACAATTTTATTCAATAGTAAATTATCCACCATGTATTCACATCGAACCTCCTAAAAACCGACTTATAAAAGAAGGGCCAGTCAATGATTTATTTACACATCTTCGTACTTAACCAATATAGGATCATAACATTCCACCACGCTAATCTAGTCTATAGGTCTCCAGTTTTGTGACTCAACCATAGAGAGCACAAACCTTAATGGTTTCAACACATATTCGACGCGATGACTGACTCTTATACCAATTGTTATCAACCTATAAGTAAAATTTGTTCTTGAAAATCTATATAATAAAGTAGCATACAATTCAAATTTCAAAAGATAAACAAAATGATTTTTGTTATTCGTGGTTGAGATCGATTTAAATTTTACTTTAAAATTAATCTAACAACTAATTTTAATACTCTAAATTTAATAGAAAATAGGGGCCCTATGAGTGTGTTTGAAGTGATTTTTTAAAAGTACTTCTAGAAATTACATTTCATAAATACTTTGAAAAAAAAAAATAGTATTTGAAATCGCCCCACTGCCGCCACCATCACCGTCGCCACGGTTATTGCCATCCGCCACAACAATCATCGTTTTCTACCATCATCACTGTTGCCTACTACCTCTCACCTCCACTACAAAACAATGGTTAAATTCTTTTCTATATTTATGATTTGATTTTGGATATAAATACAAATATGTTTATTGTTTACTATTTTTTATTACTCTTTACTTTCAGACACAGGCAACAACTAGTAGACTTAAAAAGGAAAAATTATGCAGAATTTCATACACACACATCTAATCTCATATTTAACTAATGTGGAATCATAATAAATTGTTAATTTTTATGTTACCAAACATGCTTTTATTTTGTATTACCACGGAGGTTACCTAGGTTCTTACCACACATCTTCGAGGCATATGCAATATCCTCCTCGTCTCACGTTGTGTAGCACTGGCACATCAAATGGTACTCTCCATGGAATAAATAATAGGTACTCGAATTCAACCCAAACCTTTTTAATTTCGATTGATACCCATTTTCAAAATTTTGAACTTACTTTTATTCAGGTTACACCACTGAGAAATTGGATTCAATTCTAAGTACTCTGAAGCCCAAGGTAAGTTTGTTATGATTATATACAATTTTTTTAGTATAATTTATAATTTTTTGGAGGGTTTTTACGATCGATCTTAAAAATATAAGATTGATAAAAAAAAAAAAAAATTGTTAGAATCAATCTCAAACACTTCAAAAAATTAGAATTTGACCTCTAAAAAGTTATGAATTAAACTCAAAATCCCTTGTAATATTTTTAGGATCGATCCTAAATTTATTAGAATTGATCCCAAATACTTCAAAAAAATTATAACTTGACTATTAAAAAGTTATAACTTGAAACTTAAAATTCATAATTTTTTATGAATCAGAATCCCAATATTTTAGGATTGTGAACTCAAATGTTAAATTGTAACTAGACCCCAAAAATTTATATTTTAATCCACAAAAAATAGAGTAAGTTACACTTTACTCCCTTAAACTATTATCTTTATTTTACTTTATACACTCAATTATAAAATTTCTTATATTGTACCATGAAATATCAATTTTGTTTCATATCACTCCATTAGATAATAACAAACTTGAAAATTCGTTAAAGAAGGGAGGAAAGCTCTAAAGAATTTTCTGCCAAATGTCTAGTACCACTTCATTTTACCTCTTTTGAAATTAAATGGTTGTTATGAAGTAAAAAAAAAGGTAGGTCAAAGGAAGAAGATTTGGAGTTTAGGAAGAGTAAAGTCATAAATAAATATTTTTCTTAATTTTTGATATGCACATGTGAAGTAGACAATTACTTATTGGTAATACAGATCACTCATAAGCGCATTTATCATCAAAAATTTGATAATTTTTATTTATTAGAATAATATGAAACAAAATTGATATTTTATGGTGTAATATAAAAAATTTTATAGTCGAAGGTACAAAAATAAACAAAGGTAATAATTTAAGGAGCATAAAATATAATTTGCCCTAAAATTTTAAGTTGCAATCTCAATGCAAACATTAGGGTTACATTTTAGTTTGGTCTCGGTAGTCGAGGCTAAGAGACGTGTATTGGATTGACGGTTTTACTCTTTTGATAGCCAAATCAATAAATCGGGTTTTGACCCCAATTCGATTATCCGGATTTGAATTGACGTTTTTATGTATAACCCGAATCCATAGCCCGTGGGAAATGTTTATGAGATAAAAGCACAAATCAGAACACTTTTCTCTCTCTTAAAATCTCAGTCTCTTCTCACCGTCTCTTCGTCTCTCACCAACGCCACCGTCCCACCGTCGCTGCCTAAAAACCTAAAGTTGATCAGTTCGTCCAGCCAGGTAACTTCTGTCACCTCGCACAGTCTAAACCTTTTCTTTCTCGTTGTGATCCTTTGGATCGTTGATACTCAGTTGCCTACGGTATACAAGAAAGAGAGAGAGACAGAGAGAGATGAGTTATGATTTTATCATCTCAACGGCTGAAATCAATATGCTCACAATCTAATTCCTATTTTACTAGTACCCGAGGCAGAAGAAGTAGGAATTGCATAGATTAGAAACAAGTTGAGTACTACAATAATAAATTAACTTGGAATCTGATTTAATGTCTGTGACTCTGTTCCTATTTGTGTATTATGAACAAAAAAGGGTATAAGTTTATCAACTGAAATTCAAACATGTCCGTACAATTTGATTCCCTAGCTGTTCATAGTAGAAGTTGTATCAGATTCACATTTGATACTATAATACTCACAATCTTTTAGAGTTTGCGTATCATCCCACACTAAATTCTATATCACAATTTGTTCACTTTTTTTGGGATGAAAACCTGCTCTAGCAATCAAGATTTTGCCCTGGTCTGTTTTCTGTCAGTGCTTGGTAATGCACAATGGATTAGCATTAAGAGTCGCAATGATAGAATTGCATTTACATAAATACATGAAACCTACGGTGCAGTGCTGATCAAACAGTTTGTTCCAATTTAGTACTTAAATTTAAGTACATACCAAACAGTTTTAAGATTAAAAAAAAAAAAACTTAGCATTCAGTTTTCAAAACTTAATTTTCAGTTTTATTAAAACTACCTTATTCCGTGGTGGAGTAGATAAGGACTTCATGTAATTAGTCAGGGTTGTTCTTATCTCAATATAACTTTTGAGGAGTTTAATGTCATTATAAATTCCTTTTGGGGGAATAGTGTAACTTTTTATGTCCACTAACGCTTGTTTGTTTGGCTATTCCTTCATAACAGGGTATACATAATAACTAAGCATCTCTAACAACAAAAGTTATTTTAGTTACTCAAAAAACACATTTTCTATTTGAGCTACTCACTTTTTCAATACACACTCCAACAGATTTTTGATATTTTTAACTACTCATTTTAAATATTATTTCTCATTTCTTTTGTATTATTTTTTTTGGGAATAGTGAAAGGGAGAAAGAGAGAGAATAGTGGAAAGGAGAGGAAGAGAGAGAAAATATTATAAAAATGTTTACATATCGCTACAGTGATACTATAAATCTAGAGTATTACTATAGCAAAATGTTATTTTAATATTTTGAAGATAATTTGTTGGAATAGAATTTTTGGGCTAAATAGCTAAAATTTGAAGATTTTGTGTCTTTTAGATCATCTGTTGGAGATGCTTTGAAGAAGGCTAAGAGACAGAATCTGAGGAAGTGTGTGTAATACTGATATGAAGGATCCAAACCCTAAAAGTTGTTTGAGATGTCTGCACTGTGCAGGTCCCCTCACCAGAAATATGGTAATTCTCTTTACTGTTACCAGGCTAATATTAGCTAATAATATATGTATCTTTGCAGTCAATCTTAGCTCTTGCATATCTTGCTGTTGTTCATTTGATGGTAGGAAACTAGTGATTGGACTATTCCACCACTCATTAGGGATGGCTTTTCTATGGTAAGTTGCTCTTTTCTTATCATTTTTCCTGTGATTCAAACTTACATACATTGTTCTTGCCTTTTTTTTTCTTCAAGGGAATTTGATTTATTTGTTCTTAATTTTTCTGATATTTGTCTTTTACTTTTGGGGTGTTCTTATGCCGTAAAGATTGGATCTGCAGTTGGTGGTACGACGAGTGCGTTCTATGGATTCAACCATGGTATGTATACGCTAATTTTTCTTTTCTTTTTAACATTCTCTTTAAGCTTGTTTTCCTCCTTTTTTTTAAAAAAATAAAATAAAATGGATTGATTCTATAAGCTTTGATGTCTTTAGGTCATTCCTCCTTGTTGATCATTAGAAGGATAAATAGCCAGTTATTTTTGGCTAATTTGATCTAACCATTGCTCTCTTGTGTTACTTCTTTTGAGGTGATTTGCTTTCAGCTAAGTATAGGAACTAAAACATTTATATGTTATCCAAACTGAAAAAGGAAATTAGCTATATTGTTACGTTAGCTTATTTGGTTTCTGTAGCCTTTGTCTTAAAACCATAACTTAGATATGTTTGATTGAAAATATTGTTTTGAAGTCTCATTTTCTGGGTACAAAGGTGGTTGTTCTATTCAGGTTCATGTTCTACACATCTTGGTAATAATTAAAATCAAACTACTCATCAAGCTTTGTTTAAGATTAGGGCAGGCATTGGGAATTTGGGATATTCTTTTCGAACATCATGCTAGCATTGATGCCACATAGATTTTCCAAAGTTGTAAACAAGTCGCCACCATGGTTCAAAGTATCGGTCAAGTCATATCTGACTCTGCACTTTCTAAGACGATACTGTTATACGATATGTATAAATCTTGAATGTTGCACGATTCGACAGAGTCGTCCGAGTTATATGCGAGTCAATTGCGAGTCGGCGAGATATCGTCACTAAATCGGCGGATATGGTTTCGTGATGCCACAATAGGATTTGAATCTCTTGTCATGTTCAATATTTTTTTTAGCTTGTATCTTCTGATACCGCGTCGTAATGCCGCAACCGATGTGCCTTAGAGCCCTTCGAATTAATGGTCGATACCATAACCTTAAAACCATGGTCGCTACCCCTTTTTTTATTTCTTTTATTGAATTTGATTTGATTAGAGCAAAGTTCCTTGAAAACCTCCGCCTTCTTTAAAATATCTTGAACAGTTCCTAAAGGTTGAGCACCATTTTCAAGTTAGTCTCTTCAAGTGGAAGCAATTATAGTTTGTCTAATGAAATAGAGATGCATGATCCATGAATTTGAAGGATAAATCCCTTGTGAACTTTCTTAAAAAATTGGATTAATGGATGTCTGATATTATACCATCCATTGTGCGGAGCATTTTGTTTGTTTGTTAAAGGTAGAGCCCTTATATTTGAGGGGGATTCCATTTTTGCAAATCTCTCAGCCTTCTCTATACTCTCACAAAAGATGTCATTTTGCTAGTTTGAACAGGATTCAATCTTATCTAAATTTCAATCAATCTTCTTGTAAAGGGAGTTTGTATCCCTTGTCGAATGATGAGGACCAAAGTTGTTAGTATCGTACGATACGCGATACGTATCGTACGATACGTTACGATACAGCCCTAAAACGATACGGATCGTAGTTATGTATCGTTTTTGCGTTGTATCGTCCGATACACGATACGTTTTTACGATACGATACGTATCGGTACGATACGCACGATACGTGCAATTTTTTTTTTTTTTTTTTTTTTAAAAAAACGACGTCGTTTTGTGCTCTGATTTTTTTTAAAAAAAAACGACAAGTGAAGACTTGTTGGCATCCGATCACAATGATGATGATGATGATGCATTTTCAATTGAAATTGAAGATTGAGTTCAAAATGGATGTTAGAAATTTGGATTAGAAGTCTCTTTGGTGTTTAGAGTTTGAATTAGTGAACTATGGTTGTGAACTTTGCATTATAATAGTAGTGGATTATGTTGATAACTTGAATAGTTGGTGGAGTATTAATGAAATGCTATATTTTTTATGAGTGTATGACTTTTTTTCAAAGGTATATATATTTTTTTATTATTTATTTAAAATTGCATCGTATCTTACGATACACGATACGATACACGATACGATACAATATTTGTATCTTACAATACGCCTTCCGATACACGATTTGATAACTATGATGAGGACCACCCAATGTTGGTTTATATAGTGAAAGAGTCTCTCCACTAATTGGTAATTGATTTTGAGTTGAATGTCTAAAATGATGTCAAAGTTGGATCTTGGATGGTCGGTGGGCTAAATCTCTTTCCCATTTGAATGTTTCAATATTCATGTTTGTCTGTGTGTTAGCCCCACATGCAAGTTCAGGTCCCACTTGATGAAGGTGTAAAGAGCTCTTGTATCTCACATCAAATGATTTGGACCACCCAAAATTAATTTATATAGTGAAAGTACGTATGCCCTTATTGTGGATTGGTTTTGGATCAAATGCTCTAATACTTCTTGGGGCCTTTGGAATTTCAAGCCATTTATCAAACATAGATTCTTTGATACAAACGACAACACATCTCCATTTGGTGTAGTCCAATGAAAGCAAAACTGATTGATTAGTTCTATGTAACTACCTTTCTAGGACCCTGAAAATCCCCTGAACAACTGAAATCTACATGACTAGTAGAGATTAGAGCATTGTACTATGACTTAAACTTCTTCCTCTCTATACTACCGAAAGTCCCCAGTTTTTCTCATTTCAACATCCCTTTCCTCCAAATCGACATTCTCATCCAACTTATCACATTCTAACCTTGCAAAGTGATGATAAATATTTTCTTACCAGACACTTAAAACTCTAGAAATGGTGAGGAATTTTCCTGTACCATTCAAATTTATTTCTAGCCAAAATCGATATTAATTGTATCTAAAATGTCTAAAGGACACCTCTCTGGAATTACATTTACTCATTTTTGCCCCAGTTCTCTTCAATCAATAAAGCAACCCAAATCTGTAGAAATTGAATAACTCAAATCTTCAATCAGTCACCTTAATAATATCTCCCCGTGCACCTTCGTCCACCTCAAGTAAGGAGATTTTCTATTTGATCTTGATCTTGCGAGCCAGATATCTATACGTCTTCATCTTATCTTTGTCTTGAATCCTTTATTCATTCTTTGCAACCTCACACGCACACACAACCACACACTAACACCCTGAGAGAGAGAGAGAGAGAGGGGGAGAAAGAGGAGACAACTCACAGTCAAGATTGGAGTCCTAGGATTTTTTGAGATGAGAAAAACACAATAAGACTTTACCTTGAGGAGGGAGGTGAACCCAGTAGAGATAGTGGCGCTTTGCTTTTCACTCCATTACTCTCTATTTCTCTCTGCTGGTAAAGAGCCTCTCTATGGTCCATTATGTTTTTGCTTCTCTTTCTGTTTCTCTCTACTTCATCAATACGTTTTTTATCTTCTCTCTGTAATCTAAAGACACTTTTTTTTTTCTTTAAATACTCACTTTGTCTATGTAAAAGACTCTCTTGCTTGCCATGAATTCATCCACACACAATGTGTCCTTACATAAAGAGCATCTCAAATGTAATCACAGATCCAATTTATTTGTCCAAAAAGGCCACCCTTCCTCTCTCTATCTCCCTTCTTCTCTCTCTCACTCTACACATACATAGAGTCACACTCACAAATCTAAAAAATCATCTATCTCTTTTCTTTTTTATTTTTTAATTTACTGGATTGCCACCTCTCTACCCTTTTGAAGAACCCTCTCAACCGAAGTACATAAAAAGATAGACTAGCCATGGCGATTGTACCATTGAATCCTAGCCTCAACATTGTTGAGTCGACTGTCCTCTTACCACAGGCATACACATAAAGACCATGCTTATTACCTCTTTTTAGGCTACTTATAGCTTTTAATTCTAAAGAAGTTATGTTGAAATGTTTGCTACAGCTTATCTAACTTGATGAAAGCTAAAAAGCCGCCTTTAGAGAGTTGGTCAGGAGATGCTTTACAAAAACTGCTTTTAGCAAGCTATTTTTTTTGGGAAGTTAAGTGTTAACAAACATGGTCAAAGTGTGCTCCCACATTTAGAGCATACAAAATCTAATCTCAGCTCATGTCTATTAAAAAACCAGAGATGTGTGTATATATATATATGTTTGTGTGTGTGTGTGTGTGTGTGTTTGAATTAAATCGAAAAATGATCGGTATGTTTACTTTGCTGTTGCTAATTTGTCCAATTGCCACCACCCTATCCCATTACAGAACCCTCTCAACCAAAGTAAATAAAGAGATGCACTCCTTGGGGGCGAAGGCATCTCCAGACGTAAGCCTCCATATTATGTTGATCAGCCTCTGTTTTCTCCACAAACAGATTTGCTTACTTCGTTGACGACTAAGTTTTGATGCTATAGTTGCGGAGACGATATGCACCTAATAAAGATAGGCAGATGGATATATTGTGAGTTTTTTGGAATCTAACGTTGGATTTTAAAGTGAGGATGTGGGGTTGTCCAGTAGCTTACTTCAAGGGCAAATAATAAGGGCTAAGAGAGTGTAATTTGATTAATGATGTGCCTAACAATTAGAACAAGAATGTGAAGCAGATATCCTAGTTGCCTAAAAATAGGGATTGGTCAAAGAGCTGGAATGATGCCTTGGTGGATTCTTTAACCATAGACCGTAGATTTGTCTTTTCGATATTTTATTTTTTAGGTCCTCTGACAGGAACTTTTACAACTATAGCAATATGTGCAGCCTAATATAATTATCATCCTCTCCATTATCATTTTTCTTGTTATGGTGGTTATTAATGCTATTGTTCTTGACTTCTTGTTGTTATTATTGTTGTTGTTATTTTTATTCTTCATGTTTGTTTGAAGACTAGTTTCTTCATGAGTAGCATGTGTTTGTTTTGTAGGAGCATTTAACCTGATTGGATGTATAACATTTGACACATATAACATATTCATCCTCACAGTTATATTTTTTGTCCCAACTCTCTCTCTGGTTCTTTTTCCAGTGATGCCAATTGTTCGAAGGAGGGTTAAAGGACCTATGTGGTTGCATTTCCTCATTGGTGTAAGTGTTCTTGTCCTTATTTTGTTTGATTCTTTTTCTTTGTAAGACCTCGGTTATTTGATATGTGACTTTGTATTTGTGCCTTTCTCAATATCACTTGTAGTCCTATCAGACTTAAACATGCTATAAAGTGGGAGGGCGAAAGTATTTGGACTTTGTAAAGATCTTCTATTGCCATGTTTAGTGTTATTTGATGTGCAAGGCGCACTAAGGAGCCAAGGTCCCTTAGGGCATAGGAGTGAGGCACAAGGTGAGGCATAGGCCTCATCGAAGTAAGGCGCAGGTTATAGATAACATGCAAATGATTTTTCAGAATATGGTGTAACATCAAAAAACACAAACTATAAGCAAATATTCAAAAAATGCAAACATCATAAAATATCCAAGTTCTCAAATATTCAAAATAGAGGCTGATTCTTCTTAAGTTTGTGCCTTTGATACCTTAGGAATTATCTGTCCCCTTTTGCCTACTTCACGGATTCTCTTGTCGGGTTGAATTCAAATTCCCATATACTATGAACTTGATTGATTAGGGATTTATATTTCTTAAATCGCCTGAAATAGGCAAGCTCTATGGGACTAGAATTAAAGCCGACTACAATTAGTTTCTTTTGTGCCTTAGGTTATGAGGACCTTCTAGGGAAATGGTTGTATAATGTGGAAGTAAGGCTTGTACGCTTTGCGGATGCTAGAGGGTTGGATCTTGAGTCACACAATTCGTCATACACCACTCACACTCCATTGCTCTACGTGTAAATTCATGAATTGGGAGCGAATTCACTGTAAATTCGTACATTTAATTAGTTGATTTCGCGAACTCAACTAATTAAACTCGTTAGTTTCTATGAACTTCAATAAAAAAAAGAATTTTACTTTACATAAGGCCCAAGCTAAGGCTATAAACTCCCGGCTCAGTCCCAATCAAACAAAATATTTTATTGCCTCCAGCTGTACTCATATGGTGCTTTACAGCTAATGGCTGCACCTAGGCTCATTGTAAATTCAACTGAGGAGCTAAACACCTTATATAGGCCTTTGTGGTTGTGGATTTCTCAACACTTGTTGATGTGGAACAAGGCATTGAAATGCCTTTAGACTTTTTGTTTGATTATTCACTTTATTATTTTTATGCGGGATTCAAAATCCAAATCAATAGTTAAAAAAAATTAATAATTTATCATATAGTTGTATATACAATTTAATTTTTAAAGTGTATTTTTAATAATTTTTATATATGTAAACATGTATGTATGTATATAGTATAATGCTTTCAAGGCGCTCCAGCTCTAAGAATTTTTTTAAAAAATTCACTTTTGTGTTCCCGCTCTCGCCCTGCACCTGCTCTATGTGATCTAGGTTGGATCTTGCTTGATTTGAAGTAGTTTGCTTCCAGGAAATTTAAGAAAAACGTCACTAGAAATTGTGTAGAGTAAGCTTTTAAGGTTTTAGGTATTATCTTTAAGCCTATTTTTACATTGGCCAAGGCATCCTTTAGGATAAACTTTCCTCCTCTTTATGTTGGTCAAATTTATGTCTCAAGTTGTGGAAAACATGACCTTAGTGGTAGCCTTAGATCGCAAGAATGCCTTTCTGTGAAAATAATACAACATCCTTGCTTAATGGAGCCCTGCGAAATGTTCTTATCTTTATAATTTGATAACTACCAGTGCAGAGCATTGTTATGTAGACTAGGGAATACAACACCTTTAAAAACTCCTGCATACAGCAGGGTCTTGGAGAAGTGAGTGGTAGGCAGCCTTCCCTCCAGTTTGAAGTGATTGATTTTCGGACTCGAACCTATGACATATTGCCTTGAAACCAGTCCACTTGTGTGGAACCTCATATGGTTCCCCATTGCTTCCTTCTTTTCAATCGCGCTTTCAGACAGGTTTGTGAAAGCCTCCTTTGAGTTACCATGCCAGAAAATGTACATACCTATTTATTACAATTCTAATCCCCTCTCTCTCTGTCTCCATGATGTGATTCTCCTATCACGTGTATCGGTTTTTTCTCTTTCAATATGCATCATCTAACATACTAAGCTTAATTATAATTTAATGTGATTGTCATAATATGTCAATTTTGACATATTGGGGTGCTGTGACAAACTTGAATACCAAGTAGTGATAGTTGTCTTCACAAAAAAAGTGGTAGATTTTGATTAGGGCACTTATGTATAGTTGGAAATGAACGAATATGAGTTGGAAGATATTGTCATAAAAAAGGTGAACCAGAAACAAAAAAATTAGCATAGGGCGAGTGGTGGTCATTTAGTCTATTCCAGAGTGCCATCATTAGTTTTTCCCAATTTCATCTGACATTCAGTCCGAAGAACAAGTTTGCCTCCAAAAGAATTTAAGAATTGTTTGTTGGTTGAAATTGGCTTCCCTTCTTATCCCTCAGGTGTCTGTATGTTAATTGGTTATATAGTGCTAGGTCGAGATCTTGTGATATGTGCTTTGGTATGACTCATTCTTTGACATGCTATGCTGTTGAAGTTTGAAGAAGCTTTTAAAGTACATAGAGGTGTCCTTATTTGTGTTCACTTTGTTGTTGTTACTAGTGGTGATGGTGGTGTCCCTTTCTGACATATTTTTATGGATGCAGGCTCCACCTGTGATAGTTTTCTCTTCAGCTTGTGCAGGGTTGGCAGGTTAGACTTTTCTCAATAGAGTAGCTATATTTGCTGTATACTTTTACTTATGTGTACTCTCTAGTTACAGTACTCCCTTTTTGCTCTCCTTGCCCAATCAATCATTCAATATTGTTGGGGAAACTAAGCATAGTGAGTTCTGTGGAACTATGATCCTAATGGATGCCTTTACACTAAAGCCATTATGCCCCTTTTTAGCTCATTCTATTAATATCTTTATTGAATAACAAAATTGCAATAGATATCCCAGCTTCCCCTCCCCTCACCTTCCCCATGCCATAAAAAGAGAACTCTTCCAGAGAAATTGTAGAAAGAGTGGGTTGTTATAGGAGTAGTTTTCGAATAGTTAAATTCATTTCCCTGCATAGAATCTCTGTGCCAGATATCCTTCCTTGTTTCTAGAATGCTGTTTAGAAGGATGTGACTACAAGTTAATGTTCAGGCCAAAATTATTCATGAGAAATTTTGTGTGTTTCGAGCCATACAGATAATAAACACACTTCTTTCTTGTAGAAGTTTTACAAATTTTTTGTGACAAGAACACATTCTTTAGCATGTTCCTCAATGTCAAAGAAATGTCTTCTTCATACACGTCCTAAGAAATGAAGTGAACGAGATACATGCGTTTTTTTGGACGCATAATTTGCACTGAAAGACATGTTGATGATCATAATCTTCCGAGGCTGCCATGTCACACTTCGGTTATCACTTCACACTCTAGTTGTTTCGAAGTGTACTAGGTACCAATAAATCCTGCAGTATTTTGTGACAATGGCAATAATCTCTAATTAACGTTATTTTTTGAACATTTCTCTCCAAAGGTAAGAATCATATTCCAGAGGATTTTTACATATTTTCTTTTTTGTGCAAGCTGTGCAACCCTGGGATTTTTTTTTTCTTGTGAAAAAGTTAAAAGAGTTAATTTAACAAGAGTAATGCAACTAATCAATAAATTTAAGGCACCCATGATTATTTCTGACTATGTTTGACTGAAACAACCTATAAATTGTATGGAATATGTTTATTCAATTTTCTTGTCTTGACTCTCTTAATCAATATTAATTATGTTTATAATCGGTATTAATTAGTTATTTTTGTGAAACCAACTTTGTTCTATTGTTGATGGTTAGTATTTCTTAATGGTTATAAATTATGGAAATATTCTCTAGCTGCATTAATTATTAAAATTGAAAAATGTTACATGTATCTCATGCAATGCACTAAGTTATGAACCTTAATCTATTAGCAAGAGATCAAGCATTCTTCTAACCTAGATTAGATATAATTGGTCTTTGTGAAAGAGTCCATCAACCTCAGAAATATGGATTCGTGGTGCATACCGTGCATATATGTGTGCTCGGTAGCTTTGTGTTGTTTGGACAAACCACCAAATGCCAATTGCAAGTTGTAGGAGGGTGGTGATATTAAGGTATATGAGGATGGGTGGGAACTTCTGGTCAATTCCATCTAACTTTGTAGTTGGCCATTTGCTGCCCTTCCATTCTGTGTGGGATCAAGCGTTGGAATAAGCTGCAGTGGAAATATGATTTGTCTAATGTGTCTTTTGTGATTTTTGCATGCTTTCTGGTATTATAATTCCTTTACGGCAAAAGCTGTGCCCTTTTTCTTAAATATTTTAGCTAGTTACAAAACTTCAAGCACAACTGGATTAATGGTCCCAATTTTGTACTTTTCTGTTGAGGTCATTAAGTGTATTTTAGTTCTATCCCTCGATAGAATTTTGGACTCATTACCATGATCCCTTTGTTATTCACTGTTAAGGTCATAGCTTCCCGTTTTCTAGCTCCTTGATACAAGAACTGTCACTTTGCATAATATGATTTGTCTGCCAAGTGTCAAAAAATTATCAGATTAGATATATCATTTCCTTTAAAAGGTTTGAGATCAGTGACATGTTTGAAAGAACAAGGAAACGTGTGATCTTTCCTCATATATCTTAGTATGGAAGGGGAAGAATTAATTATATTATTTCCTGCCTGTGTGCCATCTGTAGGCTGCGTTTTCAACATGTTTTCCTTTTCAGAGTTTGTCTTCCTTTGTCCTGTAGTGCCTGGGACAAGTTCTTGTTGACAGATGCTTTGTCAATTACTGTTTGGTTCTAGTGTTCTTATGAATGATCTTTTGATGTGTTGGAGTGTGAATTCTGTTTCAGATTGATTACTAGTTTCTAGTTGCCTCTTGGGCATTGGTATAGTGGTTTTTAAAGCTCCTCTATCATTTTTGAGATTTGGAATGGGAAATTACTGTTTCCTCTACTCGATGTTTCCCGAGTGTTGGCATTTATTCTATAGGTTTTTACCAGTTCACTATTGACAGTTGTTTTGGCCAGACTGAACCAAATTAAATCAGAGCGATATGGGGAAGCAATGGTGTAGTGTATTCAACCAACGGACTTTTGGTCCAATGGTACTCCTTACCTTGTGAAGACTTTGTTTTCTTGAGATCAAAGGTTCAAGTCCCCCTCTCCTTCCCCCCCTCCTCCCCCCCCAAAAAAAAAAAATGGTGTAGTGTATTCAGGTTTTTAGTCCCGGGTTTGCATTCGTTGTGGGTAACAACAATTGAAAGATCATGGCACTCAAATGCAGACTGAGATACTTGCTGTAGTTGGCACTCATTTGCATGTTGGGATATTGTTCTTTCTACTAACTTCGAGTGTTATGCTTTTGTAATGGCTGATCATGTTGCTATGGTATTGGCTGGACTTGTAACATGCCTGTGCATTTGCTTGGCATTGTGTAGGTGGTGCTGTTCCAGCAGTCGCTCAACTTGCATCATCATCTTATCATGCAGTGGTCTCATCTTCATCATTGCCACCTCCATCCTCTCGGGATGACAAGGTAGGCAAATCCACAGCGTCCTCCACTCTATAATTGTGTGGAGGGGGAGAGAGAGAGAGAGAAACAGTGCTTTGTTGTGCCTACTAGAATCCAGGCCATTAGCCTTAATTGCTGGCCGTAAATGGCTCCCAGAAGATATATTAGTAACGCATGACCAAGTTGACGACTACCGCTTCAGTTAGGTGGGCTGCAGCAGATATAACGTTTTGTACATGCAGAGTAAATTTCACTTGGCCATGCTCAGAAACTACAATATATGATTGTTGTTCGATCGATAATTATTCTTTTCAAAAGCAGAAAGTTTAAGCTGTGTAGGTATTATGATATGAATTTTTGTAAATTGGAACAACAATTATGCTGCGGCAATGGTGCTTTAGATACTGACCATATCTTGCTTGCACTACTCCTCGTCCGATGCATTGACATTTATATTTCAGACAGATTATCAATAAGCAAGAACAATACTGGGCAAATTGTCTCTTCGAGACTGCTTAATTAAAGCAGGTGAATTTTGCAGTTTGTTTTCAACACCTTCAAGCTCATGACATAATCAAGAGGAGAACCAGAGTACCATGGTAGAACTGGTTCTGACCAGTTCTTCAATATTGTTGGACTTCTGCTTGTAATTTTCTTTTAGAAAAACTTTGGTGGATACATTTTGATGCCTTCTTTTTTTCTTTACGATAGTTATTTTGCATCATTACGAGTCTCATTAGTTCGAAAATAAGCAAACTTAACGAAATTGTTGATGCATCATCCTTGCTCTTCTTTTGTATGTGCTTCATAATGCTTGGTTGTATAAGTTGCATCCCTTATGTGTTGGGCTGATAATCAAGCCAGAGTTTTATGAGTCAGAGTTGAGCTTGTTAACGAGTTTAATAAATTGTTTAATTTTGGCTTGCTTAGAAAATGAGTCGAGCCTGACTAACTTGATAATTTTTCATATAAATAAGTCAAGTTTTGTAAGTCTAAGCTGCGTCTTTTATATTTGTTTTTTAAATAAACTTAAAAAATTTGTCCAAACTTGGTTTGTTTAGTATACGAGTTGAGCTTGAGTCGAATCCTATCTGAGCTGAGATGAGTCAAATCCAAGCCGAATCAAAGTAGCTTAGCTCAATTACCATACTTATTTATATGCTCTTCACAACACACACGCGCAAGTGTGCAGAAAAAAAAAAAAAGATGTACTTGGCCTTTATTTGGCACTCTGACAATCATGCCATTGTTTATGCGACATTTTCCATTACGTTGCTAGCAGGAAAAGATTTTCTTTAAACAAGTTTTTGAGCAGGAAAAAAAAAGCAAAAAGAAAAATGAAGGAGGATTTGGAATCATGTCATTCGGAAGATACTCTGTGCAAAACATTGTTGTAATCTATAAATAATGTCATACAATGTTTTATGTTCCATATACAACTGTTGTTACTTTTTAAGTAAGTGATGGTTAAGAGTTATTCGAACCACTTGTAGAATATAACGAGAGTATAAAAGGATAGGGACTGAAGATGCATAAATATCAAACACTCCTCAACATCCAATGAGTAAATTAGGAGAATCTAGTGTTTCTCGATACATATGACTCATGGGTGATCGTCTGCATCCAGAGCTATCATTGTAGCATGAGTTTATAGAGCAAGTGATTGAAAGAGCTTTGAAAGAAAAAACGGATGCCAATATTCTTTGGGCTACTACAAGGTTCAAGAATTATGTGCACAACTGCTTTTATTGCTTCTATATTTGGGTTCTCAATATGTTTATTATACAAGGCGTACTTGGCAAAACCCAGCGAAAAAACAGAGGCGTACTTGGCGATCATGCCCTCGAAACAAAATTTTGGGAGCTTAGCCATTCGAAAGCTATTCAAACTCATGTGTCTTTGAATAAATTTACAGGTTCATGTAAAACAAGGGCTAGATGTCTAATTTTAATTCTTCGGTTTATTGATTTGGGAACAATTTCGTAACAAAAAAAAAAAAAATCTTTCAAGACAATTTGAGAAATAGTTATCAAACGACATTTTTCTTTCCATAAAATATTGTCGTTTAGTTGGGCCAACCCAACTGACCTAAAAAAAGAATAGTTAAGTAGGCTAGGGTCCCTCATTTGATGCGTAAACTAATTTCAGTCTTACCGAATTTTTAGTAAAAAAAAAATCCTCCATATTTTGAAAAAACTTACATGTAGTCTCTATGTTGATGCGAATAGTAAGGGGTAGGACAGTTACTGTATTTTCATTTCCCATTTTTCCCTCATCATATAATTTTCAACCTAACGATCTATGTTCATTCTCGACAAAATTGGAATCAAGCTTGTTCATATTTTTCTTCGAAATTGTTGAATATGCGTGCTTCTTGAGATACTCTATGATCTAAATCAAAGTTTTGTTGTCCACGTTGGGTAGTGGAATCATGTTCGAAGTGCAGTCATCTTCGATCATGTTCGTCGAACATCTAATGTTGTAAATGATTTCACTGTCGAGAAAAAGGCAAAATTATGAAATGAGTACAAATGGGTGTTTGAAGGAGTAAAGAAAGATTGATTTTGCTTATAATGAGCTCGGTTTAAGGTTTGAATATAGTGGAGTAATTTTTATGGGTTTTTGACCGATTGTTATGATTTTTTGAGCCCTGAATTTGAAGGTTTGATAATAGTTGGTTAACTTTTAGGGTTTCTATTTGATAATCTGTGTTTTAATATACCTGTATGACGATCTATATTTTAGCGTACCTTTCTAACAATATGTGTTTTAGTGTATCTGTCTGATGAAATATGTTTTAGCGCACCTGTCTAACGACATTTGTTTTACTGTACCTATCTAAAGATCTTTGTTTACATAGAAGAAAGTACATTATATTATTTTAATGTATTAGTCTAACAATTTATATATTTTTTTAGTGTACATGTTCGACGATCTGTATTTATGGAGAAAAATGTACATTATGATGATTTAACTTTTTAGAATATATATTTTAATTAGGTGATGACATTATCGTCATTTTTGTAATTTTTAAAGGCGGTAGTTATGTCTATTGCTTTAACCTTTCAACAGACACTTAATCCAAAAGAAAATTAGCAAGTGGATTTTTTTAAGAATCCTATTGAGCCGAAAACCGGCCTCCAAAAAACTCTAGAATCCAACTAAAACAGATTTTTTGTGTTAGTTTTTCTTTAAAAAGAAAGTTAAATAATTTTTCACGTGTGTACCACTGAACTTGACATATGTTTGGCACATGGTGGGAGGATAGAAGAAAATTGTAAAGACATTAAGTTTCTAAAGCACATTATTGTTGTAAATGCATATTGTAGATGATAACTGTGCATGAATAATGTTAACTACACATAATCCAAAATAGTGATGCATATGTCAAATAGTAATGAATATGATATATTACTGTGCATGAAAAGTTGTGAATAGTATTTGTATTTTGTAAGCCCCATGAAATTATTTTAAGTTATATTAAATTATCATGTATTGTGTTGATGTAAGAAGAATTAAGAAAGAATAAACTATTTAGGTGGTAATTGTAGAATAGTGTAAATATGTTGGAAAGATTGAAGTTTTGGTATGGTCATTCTCAGAAAAAATAAGATTAGTTAAGTTTTAAACATAATTAGAGAAAAATAACATTAAAAATAGATCTGTAAGATTGAGAAACCTTGATAGAGGTGATATGAGGTGAATTATAAATTTAAAAGTATTTCGAAACTAAAATGTATATTGAGAGAATTCGGGTAGGAAGAAATTTGATATTATCTTAATATTTTGTCTATAATTTTTTATTTCAAACTCCGATTGATATGATTTTTGAACAGTATAAACTAGACTTTAAAGTCTACAAAAGTGTATTGCATAGAATTTTCATAAATCGGCTTCTAATCATGTCAAACTTGAGCTGGAAGTATGAACAAAAATTCATCGGCGTTCGGACGCCAATCCAAAAAATGAAATTCTACATTCTTGGCAGAATAGAGCAGAACCAGTGAGTTGGGAGCATTTGAGCGCCAACCCCAGCATTCGAATGCCTGACTAGAAAGTGAAATTGTGCAAAGCAAAGAGTTGGTGACTTGGTGGCATTCGACCGTTTAGACATTTCACTAAAAAATACCCTGGTCAGTTTTTAGGGTTTTTTCCATTTTTCACCCCTATAAATACCTTAGGGCCCATGTTGACGTCCTTTTACCTACTTTTCACTCCTAACAAGCATAGGAAACACTAAGAACAAGAAAGAGAGGAAGAAAGAGATAAAACGCGAAGGATTAACACATGTAGATCGCATCAAATACGTAGAATCACGCAATTTATGGACTAAAAGATACGATTTCTTTCTCAAATTCAAGATTAAGGTTAAGAATATTATTTATATGCTTTCAATCTTTTTATATATGTTAGATAGACAATAATTGGGAATTTTTTTCAATAATGTGAATCGTTGCTTGAATATAAATAATTTCTATTCAAGATTCATGTATTCCTTATCGAAAAATCATAGTTCTTGAGTTATAACCTCACTTATCCATGTTTTATATTAAAACTCACATGTTCTTGATTTCTAAAACCCTAATGTAAATATGTTTATTGAAGATCTCTTGGATGTTTTCTCGAGTTATTCCTTTTGAAATGTTATGAAATCATGATTCTTGATTGTTGTTGGATTTTATGAAAAATTTGTGGAAAGTATCTCTTGTAGGGTGGGTGTGATTAATGTGGCTTAAAGTCAATCGGATATCATAGAGGGGTGTAGATGAGTTTCTTACCTTGAGGGATTTGAAGGTTTTCTAACATTAGTAATGAAGTTGGTGTCTTGCGAGAACCAAACCACTATTTGCTTATAGTAATTAAGGCGGAGGGCTAGTATACTATTATTGGGAAGTTATGTTAATGTCGATGTGTTGGTATACACACTTCTTGAAAATGAGTCATCTTTGCGAGGATTGTATTGTTGATTGGGTGTAGGGGGTCGGGATATTCTTGATGTATGGATTTATGTTAGCCAACCTACA